AAAAACAATTTTTGATTGTTTTTATTTGCATATAATTGATGATCGTGATTCAAATGAACATGTTTCGTTTCGAACAAATCATCTAATACCTTATTGTCGACGTCCATTATCAACTGATTCTATTAATAAAATACAAGGATATATAGAAAATACATACACATTTAAAAATTTAAGTTTACAAGGAATTACGAGTGAAAATCTTCTTCAGTGGTCAATATCAATTGATATAATTGAACTATATTCTATATACCTCATTAAAAATGATATCGAATTTGATGGATTTATTCTTAATAATTGTTCATCATTATGGTTTGGTTCGAATTGTCAATATACATTTAATTTAAGTATGCCTATCGAATCATTTGGGGATTTCGTAGATTCTTCATTTAAGGCTCGTAAACAATATGATAGAAAAATGTTGATACATACTTGTTATCCTCATTTATCTGAATGTTATCGTGGTCCTGAACCGATGTGTTTAGATTGGCGTGAAATATGTAATGGAAAAGTTGATTGTATTGGAAGTAATTTTGGTATCGATGAAGAATATTGTAATGAACTTGAAATAAATGAATGTGAAGAAGATGAATATCGATGTCATAATGGAGCACAATGTATTCCATTTAAATTCTTTCATGATGGCCGAACAAGTAAAGATTGTTTGGATGGAACAGATGAAGTTGAAAAGTTTCGTAAGTCGGAATATTTGAAACCGGAACAATCTTTAGGATGCATCGGTTCAATGCTATTCGCTTGTGAAGAGGTAACATGTCGTCAACCACATGAATTTTCATGTGGCGATGGAAGTTGTACAATATTTAATCCTAGTTTTAATCTTATTAATTATAATCCAGATGCTTGTGCAAGTACAGGTCGTGTTGCCAACTATCGTCAAGCAATTTATAAATCAGCCAAACAATATCCGAATGATTGTTATCTTATATTATTTTGTAAACTCGGTTTTTATGACATTCTCCAAAATGATACATACAATATAACAGATTGTTCAAGTAAAAATTTGTCATCAAAAAATTGTACATTAGAATATCTTTCGTTTCCTCGTGAACCTATTTTCAATGGTTATTTTCAACCTTTTTATTCAACTCGATATTTTAACAATCCTGATTATGATAAATGGCCAGCATACATCTGTACTAATCCACGATTTGGTTTATATTTGTCAAATGAAAAAAATCGTATGAATGGTTTAGATTGCCGTTCATCTGCAACATTTTTCTCCAACAGTCCGGGTTTATCAGATTATTTGAAAGAAAATGCTGCGATTTGTGCATTAATGGGAAATATTAATAAATATAAATCAAATTCATCTTTATTTTATTGTGAAAAATCTCATAAATATATATCAAAACATCGTCTCATTGATGGTATTCGAGATTGTTATTATAATGAAGATGAAATTTATACAAATAGTTGTTCATTAAATGATATTCATCGTTTTAATTGTACATCAGAAACAAAATGTTTATCACCTATAGGTATTGGCCTTGATCAACCTCAATGCAAAAATGCAGAAGATGAAAAAATTGACAATGACGAAATATTTGTATATTCACGTCTTTGTAATGAGATAGATAGTTTTGCAGAATTAGAACGAGAAGATAATGAAACCGATGAAACCAGTTGTGAATGGTGGCCTTGTCATACTCCGTACACTCGATGTGATAATACTTTTCAATGTGCTAATGGCATCGATGAATTGAATTGTCCTAATGTTAATTGTAATATTAATGAATTTAAATGTCAAATTATTAATTCAACTAATGATTATTATTGTATTCCTCAAGAATATATTTACGAAAAACCAGTCGATTGTATTAATCATGATTTTCACGATAGTCTGTATCGAAATATATTTTATTCAAATAATTTAACTTTTAATATTAATCAACAATATATATCATGGAAAGAAAAGACTTGTTTAACAAAAAATGATATTTGTAATGATTCATCGACTAATGATCAACAATTAATATGTAATATTGTTGAAAAAGAAAATATTTGTTTTGACCGTAAATTCTTAATAGATTTGTATAACAATAGAACATTATGTCGCGTGGCGAAGCATAATACTGTTCCTGATCGTGGTTTTTATTATTTTTCTACATGGAATTTGGGATATTTTCCACCAATAATAAATGAAACATCATTATCATCTCAACAATCTATCAATAGTAAGACAAAAAAACCTCTCGAAATCAATACTAGTATTGAATTAATTGAATATTGTAATCGTGGAATTGTTATATTTGAAGGAGCATCTTATAAAAAGAAATGTTTATGTCCACCTAATTATTACGGTGATCGATGTCAATGGCAAAATCAACGTATTAGTTTAACACTTCAGATACGTCCATTAGGTTCACATGAGAATAAACATTCTATTTATGACATATTTATTTATTTAATTGATGATGAAAATGAAATAATACATAACTATGAAAAAATAAATTATATTTCATCAATAGATTGTAATACAAAATACAATCGTTATTTACTTTATCCTAATCAACCAAAAAATCCTAATCATACATATTCGATACGTATTGATATTTATGAAAAATCAACATCATTAAATTATTATGGAAGTTGGAATTTATCTATTCCATTTCCATTTTTACCAGTTAATCGCATAGCAACACAACTTCGTATTCCATCAGAAAAATCTCAATTATTATCAAAATGTTCAATTCAATGTGGAACAAATGAAAAATGTTTTAATTATATTAATTCTACAAAAGAATTATGCCATTGTGATCAAGGTTATTCAGGTCGTTATTGTAATATAACATATCAACATTCTTGTTCATCGGATTCAATGGCGTTAAATTCATCAATTTGTTTATGTCCATTAAATAAATTTGGTTCGAAATGTTATTTACAATATACATCGTGTCAATCAACTAATAATTCATGTCAAAATAATGGTCTATGTATACCTTATAATAATTATATAAATCATGATGCTTTTATTTGTTTATGTCCTGAAAATTTTACTGGATCTTATTGTGAATATCAACTAAATAAAATAAATATTAATTTCAAAATCAATTCAATTCCAACATTAATTTTTGCTCATTATATTATTTCACATCATGATAAAGGACATGAAAGAATAACAAGGTTTAAAAAAATTCCATTTGATCAATATTCAATTGAATTATTTTCTCAAATTCCATTTAATTTATTATTTATCGAATTTGAAAAGAATTATTATCTTACTGTAATAAGAGAAAAATCAATTCAATCTGAAAATATTGCTACTAATATAAATCAAGATAATAATTGTGAAAATATAAATAAACTTTTAAATTCAACAATACTTAATTATACAAATCTTCGTCGATTAAAATATTATCAATTACCATGTATAGAAAATCTCAAGTTAAAATGTTTCTATGATGATAAACATATGTGTGTTTGTGATAAAAATCATTATTCAAATTGTTTTGAATTTGATCATAATACGTCTTATAATTGTCAAGGTTATAATTATTGTGAAAATAATGGCGAATGTCTTCAGGATAATATAACTTGCCCATCAACTTCAGTATGTATATGTAAAAAATGTTATTATGGAAGTAAATGTCAATTCAGTAGCATAGGTTTTAGTACATCACTTGATGTTATTTTTGGATATCATATTAAACCATTTATTTCATTTACAAAACAATCCAGCGCAGTAAAAATAACAGCATCAATAACAATCCTTATGTTAATATTTAGTATTAT